TGAATATGTAAATAATTTTGTAACCCATGCATGTCTGTTCTTTTTCTATATATATATATATATTTTTTTTTTTGCAATCTTGTATTGAAATGTACAGCTACAACAGTTTCAGGGTTGAATTTCAATGCAAAAATGATTAATAATGACCTTAACTAGTAAATATCATTACAACACATCACACTGTTTACAGCCTTCAAGTCTTAAAAGCTCTTATAAATTCTGTAAAAACAAATCATGGACATACTGAATATGTAAATATTATTAATGTTTGGTGCTTAAAGTTTTCCTCTGCCAGTAGATCATGATTTTTCTTATATATATATATATTTTTTTTTTTTGCAATCTTGTATTGAAATGTACAGCTACAACAGTTTCAGGGTTGAATTTCAATGCAAAAATGATTAATAATGACCTTAACTAGTAAATATCATTACAACACATCACACTGTTTACAGCCTTCAAGTCTTAAAAGCTCTTATAAATTCTGTAAAAACAAATCATGGACATACTGAATATGTAAATATTATTAATGTTTGGTGCTTAAAGTTTTCCTCTGCCAGTAGATCATGAAAACAATGAAAGGGGTCTTAATTTTTATAACAACCTAAGTTTTTTTTTTCCCTTTTCCTAAATACTGATTCTATGTATTTGAGTTTAAAATTGATTCATGCAGGCTATTTAGTCTAGTATTGTAGAGATGTTTGTGTTTTACTGAATATTTTACAAATGAAAATGACGCTAATTCGGAATTGCATGTTTTGATGAACTTGTCCTAATTAACTAATAAAGTTAATTTACAAAGCTGAAATATGTCATTTTTGCATCACTAATGCCATTGCATGAAACTGCCCACAACTGTGTGTGGAATAATAATAATAATAATGCCAATTTCCAAACAAAACAGAAGCAAAAGTGTTGCATGTTTTTTGCATCTTTGAACAACTTCCATAAATATGGATTATAAAATGAGATTCACATTGACTTTAAAGTTGATCTAATATCAGACTTATACTTATGTAGGCCAAATCAGATCACTAATGGAAGTGGAAAATGATAGCATTATATTAAGATTAAGGCTATTGACCCTTATGTATTTTTCTATCTCCCCCCGACCCTTTAATCTTGAAGCCAGGTGTATTTGGAGATGTACATTCAGCCCTCATCTGTGCTATATATAGTGTTGGGTCTCAATCCCGCGGTGGTGTCAGGGGCCTCTCGTTATCCCAGCGCGTTCAGGCCAGCGGGGTCACATGACACAGGATAGCTGGTTTAGCACTGCCTGTGCTGAAAAACACAAGGCTGAGTTAGAATGTGAAATGTGTTATGGGACATCAGAGGCGGCTCTGCCCTCACTAGGTCTGTTGTCTCCTTCGGATGAAGAGCTTGTTGTAGGCTATTCCTCATTTATAATTCGCTTTGGATTAAAGCTTCTGCTAAATTAAGAAATGTAAATGTAAATATGGATATACTGTAAATTGCCTTTACCTGCAGTACAGAGTGTGTTGTTCGCAGACACAAGAACGAGAGAAGACATTTGCCATATTTGTCTCATACAATGGACTGCATGAACTGCTATCGCCTCATCCAGTGTCGTTTGTTTTCAGTCTTAGAAAGTATATATCCCGATAATCGTGAGAGGCCGATGCAAACGATTAGTGCCCCAGCTAACAGGGAACGTTCCCATAACTTTCACTAACGTTCTTTAAAAGTTATGAAAATATTAGGACAAAACGTTCCTAAAATAATGTTTATCGAACGTTCTTATAATGTTATTCATAGTAAATTATGTTCTCGTGACGTTGAGAGAAAATGTTCTTAGAATAACGTTCTTGGAACATCCTGATGTTGTTTGTACTTAAAGGGTTAGTTCACCCAAAAATGAAAATTAGCCCATGAATTACTCATCCTCAAGGCATCCTAGGTGTATATGACTTTCTTCTTTCAGACGAATCCAATCGGAGTTATATTAAAAATTGTCTTTGATCTTCCAAGCTGTTTAATGGCAGTCAGCGGGTGTTGCAGTGCATCGGTCCAAAAGAAGTGAAATAAAGTGCATCCATCCAATCTTACGTCATCCTCCTGGAGCTGCTTCCGTGTACAACTGTTGGCGCAAGCTACATTAAAGTGATTATTACGTTTTGAATATAGATATTTTTCTTACAAAAACACATTGATTCGCTACAGGAGGCCTTTGTTCACCCCCCGGAGCCGTGTGAGACACTTTTTATTATGAATGGATGCGCTTTATTTCACTTCTTTTGGACCGATGCACTGCAACACCCAACAACAGCTTGAAAGATCAAAGACAATTTTTAATATAACTCCGATTAGATTCGTCTGAAAGAATAAAGTCATATACACCTAGGATGCCTTGAGGATGAGTAATTCATGGGCTAATTTTCATTTTTGGGTGAACTAACCCTTTAATGAATGTTCAGAGAAAACATTCTTAATATAGCATTCTTGGAATATCCTTATATTGTTATTTGCTGGAAGTTTTCATAATGTCATCATGAAACGTTCTGAGTACACCTTACGTTGTAATTTGTATCCTACTTGATGAATATTCTCATAACATTGAATGAAAACGTTTTTAGAATAACAGTCTTTATGATGTTATCAATATTTGCAGAATGTTTGCAAAAAAAAAATGTTGTGAGAACAATTTTAATGAAATGTCCTTAGAGTGTTATTTGTCGGAGTCTAAGTCAACTTTGTTGGTACAGTGCTTTTCACAGTAGGCTACAAAGCAGCTTTACAGAAAATCATGATGTTATAATGTTTATAATATCTTAGAATCTTCATGCCTTATAGTCCCATTTAGCAAATACCCAGCTAACAGAGAACATTCTCAGTACATTTGGCTAAGATTTAGGCAAGATTCTCTTAAAGTTATGAACAAACTTTCTTCCAGTTAGCAGAATGTTCATTTAAAGTTATGTGTTAATAACGTTCTCAAAACTTCAACACACACACACACACGCACACACGCACACGCACAAAAAGCACTATATAAATGCCTCAATCATTAATTAATTAATTAATTAATTAATTCATTCATTTATTCAAAACACTATTTATACATTGTTCGGAATGTCATTTTCTTTTTATAAGGATGTACGTTCTGTTTTTAAACTTAACTACTTATACTTTCCATAATGTTTGCTCAATGATTCAATGGAACGTACCCTTAATGTTTTCTCTAGCATTTGCATAACCAATAAAAAGCATTTTTTAAAAACATTTAAAAATTGAAGGTCTTGAACTTTCTCAACATTCTAAAAATTCCGTTTCATAACGTTTACTCGACGTTCTTATGGTACATTTTTAGCTGTTTTCTGACGTTTCTCCACGTTTGGTCGGATTGCTTTTTCGTTAGAATTAGCTTTTGTGGAGCTGAAAAAGCTGGTGCAAGATGAAAGGTCAGCTTTACCAGCTGCTGTTAGTGAATAGCTACACCTTTGCCTCGAGGGCAGAGCAACATGGACTAGTTGAACAATCCTGGGGTCAGACGGTCAGCAGGTGTTCTTTAGATGGACAAACGGATGTTTCCTTTTCATCCTTCAGTAAACAGACAGAAAGACACCTGAGAACTTTAGCCAGACCTCTGCCTGCCTGACCATCAAAGTGTTTTTCAAAAGATGTTAGAAAAAAGAAATTATTTACGCATCTGGGAGAGAAAAATCGAACAATAAAACATTTTAACAAAAATTACATCCTGATTATCTTTATTAAGCAGTCGTCCATGCATTAAAGCAAAAATGCACTTGAGGTCATGTTATATAGCTCTGTCCAACCCGAAGTGTTTTTCGAATAGCTTTGTCTCCTCCTGGTTGTGATGTATTAAACAGCACCCGCAGCTCATTCTTTATAAAGCCTGGAAACCCTGGCATATGAAATAATAGTTAGAAAAATCTAGTCAGTTTTTAAAAAAAAATAAAGTTTGTATATGCGTTTTCGTTGAGCATTATATCTTATACATCATGCTTTTATGACTCATATGATATAGTGGAGCTCAAATTTGAGGAGGAAAAAACAGCTAAACTGCATCCAAATAATCACAGTTGAAATGCAAATTCTATCCATATTGTGTCCAAAAATATTGGCAGTACTTTTTTGTTAGTGAAAGACGGATTAGGTGTGTGTGTGTGTGTGTTGATCAAGAGAGATTATCTGTCCATGTATTAGAAGTTTATCTGAGGTCGGGTGACTAAATGGGAAACAACACATGCTAGATGTTTTGTTTGTCATGTGACTTATTTTGGGACACTCTGTTATGTCACTTGTCTTTGTCAAAGACAAATAATTTTAAACATAATTTATGTCATATCTGGACATGGGTCATTAAAGAATATAAAATAAACAAAACTTTAACCTGCTGAGTTTTTAGACTGAAAATAGGCACATATATGGCCTACTTATGAAAAAGAAGGGAATGATGCCAATATTTACCTCATGCTGAAACACATGGGGAGAAAGAGAGATTACTGCATTTACGTCATAAAAACAGAATAAGCGCGGAGAATGGCAATCAAGCAAAGCCGCTCTGAAACCATTAAAACAAAGGGCGGGGCGTAACGCCCGGAAGTTGTCTCTGATTGGTCAGCAACGATAGGCGCTAAATAATTATAATTCTGTTTCACCTCTTTCCCATTGTTTTTAAATAAAATATTCATTAAATACATCAAATGTCACTATTCAGGTGTAAATTAGACAAGACGGTAAATTGCACGGTTATTTGTCACAATTATTTATGGTAACTTAAAACTTTAAATTTTTTAAAAATAATTTCAAAAGAATATTCTCGTATCATGTCATATTAATACTTTTAACTTTCCAATTAGTGACACACAATAATTCAACAACACACAAAAAACGTGTGGTTTAATTGTGAAGTTTCGGTTTTATGAGCCATCGAGCGCCCTCTGGAGGAAGCTGAGGAAACGTCCTCTACGAAACAGTGATTAGCGAGTTTTATCCACTCAAACGCACACAACAACAGTGTTGTCAACACACATAGAGGGAAACACGGGCGAAGAGAGTCGAGAGGAGCTGAAGTCAGTGCATCTGCTCCTGAACTCCTCTGTCCCATCATGGCTCTGTCAGGATATCAATCACCGGATGATGCTTTGCACGGTAAGACAACCGCATATCTACATAACACTAACCTGTGATTATATATATTTATATTATATATAAGCCTATTTATGTTTATATATATATATATATATATATATATATAAAAATTGTGTTACGTTTTAATTCGATTGTATAGCCACAGTATATAATTGTACAGCCTATAAAATTAATTTACAATTAAATTATTTTTTTTATAAAGTAAAATAACACGAATGCACATTAAATATTTAAAATATATATTTTAAATTTAATAACCAAATAAGTTTGGCTACTTATTGTAAAAATAATTACAATTAAAGACTAATGAATAGTATTTTTTTGTACTTAAAATGTTCTGTCTGTCTGTTTTTATTTTGCTGTGCCATTGTTTTTGTCTGTATTGTTATGTAAATAGATTCCATGACTCGCCTGTTTTGCCTCTCTCTCTAAGCCAATTACTGTGAAGAGGGCTAACAGCTCTTATAATTTGATCAGTAGCTTAAACTGTCCGCAGGGGAAAACGTGAGAACAACAGCATTTGCAGAACACGGATTCTTCATAAAAACAAATCCCAGTCATTATCATTCATAAAGCACACAAAAGCATGCGCATTCTCTCATCCACACTCACAGCTTGATATTATGCTCTGTATATGTAACACGCGGCCCTCGTCTGTGGTTATGTCACAGTTCCACATGCCGGAGAATCTGGGGCAATGGCACAGTCCCTCCTCCCTCCACTGCAAAACCCCTGTCTCTGAACAACAAACCCAAAATGACCAGGAAGGGCAGAAAGAGAGGATGCTCAAGGCATGGGGAAAGATGATAAAGAATTAGAAAGAAGACAGGGAGGGAGGGAGTGTGTGTGAGAGAGAGAGAGAGAGAGAGAGAAAGAGAGAGAGAGAGATGTGACTGGCTAATCTCTGACAGAAATAAAATGCTTATGTAAGCAAGCTCTTGTTTGGGCAACAGTACTGTATCCTCATGTCCATGTGTCCATGTCAACAATCAGTGTGATAGATAGATAGATAGATAGATAGATAGATGGACTGAGAAATAGACAGGTAGATAGAATGATAGAATGATGGATAGATAGATGGATGGATGGACAGATGATAGATGACAGGTAAACAGAATAATGCATGCAAGCATTGTTATTTTACAACCTCTCTCATCCACTACCTGTCAGAGACACTTTTTAATCCAATAATTTCCCATTGGGTAAAATCAAGTCCTGTTCTGCATTGAATGTCCAGTTTTACCTGGAAATATGTCACAATATGGAAACAAGATGTGTTGACTTTAACATTTAAATTCACATAAATTCATTTTGTCACAGAGTGATCAAACTGAACCCATTTTATTAATCCAAGTCCGTGTCTTTCATATGTCCGTCAGGCTCTTGGGTGGAGCTGGAGGGTCTGGTGGCTTCTGCAGGTCAAACAGAAGCACAGGACACCACAGCCTCCTTCCTGCAGGGGGAGCTGGAGAGGATTCTGCTGGAAGCTCAGCTGGAGTGTGAGAGGAGTAGTCAAACAGAAAGGTGTGGAGCTGCTGAAGAAGGCCTGCGTGAGCTTTTTCATTTGAACCAGTGCACTTGGAAGTAAACAAATCTGCTCTTAGGAAAGAAAAATCACAAATAAGAATCTTTCTTTTCTGTCTTTCTCCAAGACATCAAGCTGTGTGTTTGACACTCATACCATACCCAATATTAAATATCTAAACATTTCTCTAAATATTAGTAAAAATTTCACATACACGTACCTCTGAAATGTACTGCCACAACAATTTTGTCTGGAAAAACGTGTATATTGCTAAATATCTCTTTCATTGCAAACTTGTTTGGAGCACATGTGGGTATTTTGGTCAATGTTTTTTTTTTTCCCCGATCAGTTTCTAGCAAGTTTAATGACTGACGAGTGATTACATACCACAAATTATCAACCTAAAAGCACGTTCAGTGAAGTAAAAGATAATGCATCATTGCTTTCCATGCTTGGTTTCTGATGGTTAATAAGCCTGCAGTGTAAAACTGTTTTATCAGGAAAATATCACATCGATTTAAGCATATTTTTGCTTATTACCTCAATTTTGCTCTGCAGGTGAACAGCTTAACCAGCACTTTGGTGGCTTGTTCATTGTCTGGCTGTTTTGTGTGCATGCCTGTTTATGTCAAAACTGGGGAAAACCTGATAATGTAATGCTTTTTTATTTTTAATGAGCTGATTTTTGATAGTTTCGCTTATGCTGCTGACCTGCTTCTCAAATGTTTCATCAGTGCCTCCTACAGAGTTTCCAGTGAGATCTCAACAACGTCTTAAACGGCATGTACTCTGCAGTTAAAAGACATTTCAATATGAACTTAAACAAAAGATCTGAGCTGCTTACATTCATTTTATAGCTCTTCCTCTGTTACTGGATCTCGGCAATTTACTAATTTATATCACCCGAGACATTTTAGGAGAAACATCTGAGACAAAGCTGATACTGTATATGAGAACTCCAGTTTCATGAACATTAAATCATCTGAGTGTGTATGTGTGTGTAGGGGAGAAATTACAAAGCATCCAGTCTTCGGTAATTATTTTGCGTGCAACTCTTATAACACAGGTTTCCTCTCTGAATTCAGTCCTCCGCAGGTCGTGACCCCGAGAACATCTGGATCTCCCAAACCAGCCAGTGAGGGCAGCAGCAGCACAGATTGTGTGACTATACAGGTAACAGACACCTGAGGCACTGTTCAGTGTATGTTCGTTCCCACAATACTGCCAAATAACACACACTCACACAGTCTCTGCACTGTTTGTCTTTCAGTCGGATGAGAATGACAGGCGAGTGAGTGCTGAATGGGTGTGGGATTGGTCCAGTCGGCCAGAAAACCTCCCGCCCAAGTAAGATTTACCTTTCGTTCATACTTTGATTCAGATGTAGCCTGTGTTCTTAAAGGCAGAGTAAGTGATTTCTGGTAGCCAATGTGGATATTTGAAATCACCAAAACAAACACGCCCCTACCCCAAAAGGGTCTTGCCCCTATTTTGATAGCTCCGCCCCACATATACGTACGCAACCCAGGCAACGATTAGTTCTGTGAAACAAAGCAAAACCAATGTTACACCGTGTCTACGGACGTGAGCGGCGCGGCGCAACAAATCCCGACAGAAAACTGCTGCCGGGTTCTATTTATGACGTGCTGACACAAATTTCAAATGGTTTTCAACGGTCGTTTGATCGCGTCCAGTGTAGTCAGACTTTAGCTGTTGTAGACACGGTGTTACTCACCTACTGAGAAGAAACATAGCAACCTCGGCGTCCGATCGCAGGCCTCCGCTCCTTGAGTTCTCTCCAGCACTGGAAAGCTGATCCAATATTTTACACGGGTCCTACTTCTTGCCTTATCTTTCCGCAGACGTTTTCCTCTTTTGTTTTTTTATCCGCCATCTCTATCTTTCTGTCGCTCGGCTCGGCTAATGTCTGTCCCATGCACTGAACGCGCTCTCCTCCACATCACGAGTAGACACGCCCCTTATTGCTGATTGGCTACAAGTTTGTTTTGCGATTCGGCCCGAATCAGTTTTCTAAAGTGTTTTTGAAAAATCACATACCCTGCATTTAAATCATGATAGTCTCTTCAGTTCACCTTCATATGTAATAAAGGCAGTTGATAGAGAAATTGTAGATAATTAGTAAATGTATCAAGTTTTTACTCAGGTGTCTGTGATATATAATGGAACTGCAGAGGTTTTGTAAAAGTATATGCCATATAAACAAAAAATGTGCCATAGACATAAAAAACACTTACTGACCCCAAGCTTTTGAACAGTAGTACATTTTTCTTCTGCTTCACAGTACGGAGAATTCTGATATATGAGCTTAATTTCCTTTAAAATATTGTCACAATACGAAAAATATTAATGGTCTTAAATACTGAATTACAGTTTGTTTTTGTTCTTTTGATTTTGGCATGCAATATTGGTTTTGTCACAATATGGAAACAAATCTCATGTTCATAGGTGGTTCATGTAATTGATTTGAGTTATGTATAGTTTTATTAGACCAGAACACAGTTGGAATAGACAATAGTAAAGATGGAAAAAATGTTGAGTTATTTATTTATTTTTGCACATGATGGCAGTTTGCAGTCCTAGATAAAATTATGCTTATTAAGGATGCAAATACATCATGAACACCATATGGCATTATGGGTAAAAATAAATTAGGTGTTCTTGTGTGCTGAAGTGTCCTTTCCGAATGCTTCACAGATTGCCAGGTCTTGCAGTGGAGCATTTGACCTCCTGCATACCTCTGCTTAAATCTCAGAGAGGATCATTTAGTCGCCACACAAAAATAGCTTGTGCGCCACACCATGAGTCAGCGAATCTGAGCCTCGCTTGTGCGGCGTTTAACGAGAGGATGAGTTCACTCTCTAGAGGAGAAAGTTCTTAATGCACGTATCATTCCAGCTAAAACCTTGTTACAAACTTTTTGAATTGCAACGTTTAATGATGTAGGATTGCAGATTGTAGCAATAGAGACTGCTCCGATATCATGATGCCATTACAAGCAAAAAGCTTTGAGACAGCACAAAAAGCTTCACTTTGTCAATGCCAGTTTTCATGACGGTGCATATACACACTTTGCAAATATACATCTTGCTGGAAAAACATTTCAAAGGTTATTTGAAATCAATCTTTAGAAATAGAGCTGATGTACAGTCATTTAGTGTCCATCCAGATGTTTGTATTGCTTTAAAAAAAATATTTTACATTAAAGATCTTAGTCAGGGTCATATATAGTATATAGTCTATATACACTATATAGTCATATATAGTTTATATATATAATATAAGCTTAGTGCACTTATCAAAATAACAAAAACAGTCAGAATTGTTGTTTTAAAACTATTCAAAATGCATTGTAACTTACAGTCTGCAAAGGAATGGAAAAATTTGTTCAAATACTCCATTTAATATCAAAGAACTTTTCAAAATAAGCAAAATCTGCACATTTCTGTCACTGTTTGGATGTAGTAAAACACCCACAGATGAAAGAGAAAACATCTGTGCTTATGTAATGTCAATAACCATAATTCTAACCTTGAAATTGGGCATTAAATGTATTTCATGTACAGTATACTGTTTTCAGAATCATTCATGCATGCAGAGGAAGACAGTAATCATGTCTTTGTGCAGTTTTTCTACTAATTAATGGATAATACTAGAATTCTTCACCTTACAAATGGTTGTCAAAAGCAAAAATGCTATGAAATGCATCATATTGTGTGAGAAAGTGTGGGCAAGTTATCGAGCAAAACAGCACCCCAAAATTAGTAAGAAACAAGTATTGGGGTTTATTCAGCTAATATGATGCAGGATGGTTCAAGCTGTTGTAACCATACTTCTAAATCACAAATCTAAAATATTTCAGTTTTTACAGACATTTCTAATATTCTGTTTTCACTTTGTCATTATGAGGTACGGAGTGTAGATTAATGAGAAAAAAATGAATTTAAACAACTGTAGGATCAGGCTGCAACATCACAAAATTGAAAAAAGTGAAGGGAGTCTGAATACTTTCTGAATGCACTGTATGCTTGCATTCCCGCATTTGCATGTGTATGAGGCAACACGCTTTATATGATAGGATAGATGAGATTTAAATTGGGATTACAATGCTGAATTTGGCTTAATCTGTTTCAGAGAAATTTAGCTTAAAACACCTTCAGGTTCACCTGGTGCACGCTCGGTAAATTATCCAGCCTGACAGGATGTTTGTTTCAAAGGCATCCATCAAAGGCATCCAAAGTGCATTTTCAATTCAACTTCCCTGAAATTATGCTGATAATATTGTGTAATCAGAATTTTGTATTAAAAGCCATGCAAAATAGGCTGGATTGACTGCACTGTACAAATAAACTTGGATTGAATATTTTATAGTCTCTAAGCTTTAAAGGGTTCACCCAAAAATGAAAATGTGATGTTTATCTGCTTACCCCCAGGGCATCCAAGATGTAGGTGACTTTGTTTCTTCAGTATTACTGCCACCTATCTCTCAAATGGACCATTGACATTATATCTACAATCTCAATTAGGAGTGTCAATGGTCCATTTGAGAGATAGGTGGCGTTTTCTTTTGTTTTTTTTACTCTCAAAGCCATGATTCCCATTCACTTCCATTATATGACTGACAGACTGCAACGGTTTGAGTTAAAAATCTTCGTTTGTGTTCTACTGAAGAAACAAAGTCATCTACATCTTGGATGCTCTGGGGGTAAGCAGATAAACATCACATTTTCATTTTTGGGTGAACTATCCCTTTAATGCATATGTACATATCTAGATTATATTGCTAAATGACCCTGATTTATCTCTCTTTCTGTCTTTAGGGAGTTTGTGTTTCATCACCCAAAGCAGTCTGGCTCTCTGAGCGTGAGGAAGACTGAGGTGATGAAGAGGGGTTTGTTTTCTTCAGATGTGCTCCTCATCCTCCTGCCCTCTCTGCTCGCCTCACATGCTTTGACGCTGGGTCTGGGGTGAGACTTTTCTTATATTTCATCATATTTTCTTTTTAATATCACTGCAACTCTTTCACTTTAAGACTCCATAGGAAGAATGTGAGGCCAAATTTTGTCAAATGTGTTTATCTATGTATAAATAGTCTATATATATTGCCTTTTGTGCATTTCAGTATTTTGCAGAATTCAAGGTAATCTGCATAAATAAAAGCATAGGGTTCTGTGCATGTATTGCCCAGAGAGCCCCATTGAAGTCAATGGCTTTTCCACTGATATACTTTTTAAATGTGGCTTCTGTCCCATCTTTGCCCGTTGCAGCCCCCGAGTCCCATAGGCCTGTGCTTGCAATAAATCACAGACAATTGAGAAATGTTTATGCTGTTAAAAATCTCTAAAATGTTGTATTGAGTCATACAAATCGAATTTTTGACTTCCATTTTCATTACAGGCATTGATGTTACCTTAAAAAGAGCATAAATAAGAACTCAGATGCTGTCTGACAGAAGAGAAAAGATGACAGATTATCTCTTTCTTTCTATTTCTTACTTTCTTTCTCAGAATATACATAGGGAAACGGCTGGCATCCTCCTCCACCAGCACACTGTGACATGTGACATTTGGCAGCTCACCGATTGGCTGAGGCCGCTGCCATTAGCACTGCTGCCCAATCACGCCTCTCTTCTCCTCCTGTGATGGGCAACAGCCTCTTCTGCCTCTGTCTGTGTTTGTCCTGTTTCACCACAAGACTCTCTTTCTCTGTCTACATGTATTTAAAGGGGTTATAGCTATCACGAGGAATCAAATTGTCCTTGATATTTTTAGATAAAAGAGCCTGATGTTCCATGAAAGTATACGTTTCAGAATGATATACATTTCAGAACTCAAAACGTTCTTACCAAAAGGAGTATTTATTGAAAATATGCTATAACGACTTATTCTGAACTCCTCTGAAGACGTAAATTTAAGATTTATGTATTTGAATTGCACATAAAGTTATCATTCGTTTGCATTAGTTTTTAACTTAATGCAATGTGTATTTTTTAGTCAAACATGAATTGAAACCAGCAAGATTTCTATAATTGTACTAAACTGAATGCGTTAAATACACAATAACCAGTTTTATATATTTATCATCAATAAATCCGATTTGTTTCAATCTCATACATTCTAACTAAATGAATATTGCTTGTTCCACAGCTAGCCATATTTTAACCATGTATATACTTTTTAAGTGAATCAATTTAATTGTTTGAACAGCTTTATGCTGATTCTAAGCAATTTGAATACATTTTGAAAATATGATTGTTTAAATAAAATAGATGCAGAGAGTGAATAATAAAATAATAATGAAGTGCAGAAATCTTACCTGTTTCTTAGCCATTTCATTTATGTATGGCTGACAAATAATCAATATCACATTAAGTTTATTAGTTTTTTTTGTCAAAACTGTGTAACCCAAATAAACGGAAATTTTATATGCAATTCAAATACATGAATATTATATACTTAAAAAATTAGGCCTAAATTTTTTTGATGTCAGACTGATTAATACGTTATCACATGATTGACCAGAAGAGTCAAAACAGGTCAAAAATATTCATGCAAAGAAAATTAGGATTGCTATTTCTGCACAAAATTATAAGTGGAGCTCAGGGAAACCGTTATGTATGATATGACCCCTTTAACCCCATGAGAGTGTCTTTTTAAGACTCTAAATCTTTTTGTAGTTAGGACTGTGTCCACATGTGTGTCAGGTCTAATACAGTACAATTACTACAGGGAACACAGAAACAGTAATGCACTGAAATCTAGCTGAAAGAGTGTAAAAGAGGAGAAAACTGACAGTGAGCGAAGCAAAAAAAAGTATTATTTTACATCTAAATCAAATGCAAGACATACATGCAGTTTGAGACGGAGTTTAGTCATGGATAGTGTATGACTGAGTCCTTTAGTGTTTGTGTGTGGAGCAAAATAATGTGAAAAATCTCATGTTGCAGTAACATGTTTGAGATATAAATCCATTCCATGTTGTAATGTGACGTTAACTGGAGTTCATCAGGTTATCTGGTCAGATTAGTCTTGTTTGTAACGACTCGACCACAATAAATGTCACTCTTACCACCTTCTGCTTGGTCTGGTGTGTAAAAAATAATGTAGATGTAGATCTATTGAAAATAGATGTGAGGCTTTCACCTTTAACTAAAAAATACAGAACATTACCTTGTTTTATTGAGCGTATAATCTTTAAAGTAGCTTGGAATAGAAATGCCATGGTAAATGAATATGATAATTATGGGTACTGGGTAGTTATAAAATATAAGTGACTTGTGTATAATTTGCCTATTTTATATGGTCACCATTTCTTTTTTCACAATTTTTTAGTCACGTTTTTCCTTCGTAGGTGTATTTCAATGGTCCTGTGATGTGACAATTGAATTTTTAAAAACGCTAATATTTTATGTATTCAGTGTTAACTATGAAGAAGTATTTCATATCAGCTTCCCATATAGCAAAATATGGTGATATTTCCATCTGATACCTTTACTGTGTATAAAACAATGAAACAAGACAAAATACACATTTAAGATGCATTGTCAAAAATAAAATAAAAAAGCTCATGTAACACAGCAGTGTGATTCCCAGAATATACAGCAGAGGTCAGAAGTGCTCTAGTGTGCACTGCATTGCAGTTAATATGGGAGTTATGGCAGAGCTCTACACATCTATTCTTTAGAAGAAGATGTGTTCCTAATTTAAAATATTTAGAAGCACAGTCAGAAATTTAGGAGCACCTTCTGATTAATGATATAAATTTATTTTCCCATTATGGGGAATTGAGGATTTATATTTTCAGTTTAAATTAAATTCCAGGGGCTTTTTTTCTTTACCTTTTAATTTAATTAAATTTAATTGAACCTTTTACCTTTAGGTAAATTTAACCTAATTTACCTTTTATAGGGGCAACCTTATTAAATGAGTCATTTTTTATGTCAGACTCTTAAATTTAAATGAATAAATTGGTTTAAAGATTTTAATTAAAACAATAAATTCAATTAGAATAGTAAGACAATTAAATGGTTTGAAATTATATTTTACATTTGAAACTTAAACCGCCAGTAGGTGGCGGGAAGTGTTTGTCATTGAATCATTCATTCAGTCGATTCATTCAAAACGGCTGATTCATTCAGGAGCTAAGTAAGGCCCTGTCCAAAATGGCACCCTAAACCCTCGCGGTCTTCCTCTGAGTCCGCACTTTCGTGACGTAATGCCGCTTTGACTGTCGGGTAGAAGTCTACTGCGGAGCTCGCCCCAGTGCGGGCTCAGCAGAAGTGCGGATCGAGGACGCATAACGGCCGCAAAGGGGTGCTCGCGAGCACCCTTCTGAACGCTAAAATGACGAATGGGACACCCTACGGTCTCGTGGACTTAACGGACACGCGCACGCGGCGGCCATTGTAAGTCGGTAAGACTGCAAGTGCACATGAAGTGTTCCATTTGGGACAGGGCCTAAGCAACTTCGGTCTTCATGGTTGGTTGTTTAAATCACTGACTCATCTGATTCGTTCAAAACACTGATTCATTCAGGAACGAAGCTCTGGTATGTTCTGCCCTGAGACACTCAACGGTTCTGTTTTGGCTTGTTTGGAACTATTTTCGTTGGCTAAATAGAGAGAAAACAGACAATATTGTGTCTGAAATGTAAGTTGCTTAATATTATCTTCTTGTTTATTGAACTTGTATAAAAATCTATATCACATTGTGCTGATGTTTGGGGAAAACCGCACTCTTGCTCGTGTCGTGTGATAGCTTAATTATATTATAAATCTTAAAAAAACAAGAACTCATATAGGGGCACAGTTTTAACAGAATATCTCGAACTTTGGGCACGGTTTTATTGATTTTGGTGCCGTTTTCGTCCCAAGCACCATTAAAGGGTTAGTTCACCCAAAAATGAAAATTAGCTTGTGAATTTTAATTCGTGACCGGCGTTTTGTTTTGTTCTCTCTCCGCATCCGTCACTAATCACGCAACGCCGTGCGTCTTACGTCATCCGCCGGAACTGCTTCAGTGTATGACAGTCAGCGGAAGTGAGAGAAAAGTGTTTATTACGTTTGAAATATGGATATTGTTCTTACAAAAACTGATGGACTCGCTACAAGGGGCTTTTATTCATCCCCCGGAGCCGTCTGCGGCACGTTTTATTATGAATGCGCGAGCTTTGTTTGACGACTTGTGGACTGTTCAACTGCAACACCCGCTGAGTGCCATTAAACAGCTTGAAATATCAAAGACAATTTTTAATATAACTCTGACTGGATTCGTCTGAAAGAAGAAAGTCATATACACCTAGGATGCTTCGAGAGTAAGTAAAACACAAGCTAATTTTCGTTTTTGCGTGAACTAACCCTTTAACTGTCGACCCTACATCTGATAATCAAATATTATTTGACAGGCTGCAAAGAAACAACAGCTTTTAAATATATTTGTACAAAAACATAATGTTCAATAGTTAGTCTTGAGCATTAAGTGTAGTCAATACTATTAACTTAATTGGCGCTTGCTCTGTGGACTGATTGCATGAGTGAAACGTAGCCTAACTGATGCATTCTGGGAGTTGTAGTTTTTAATCCGATTATATAATACAACTATTCATGAGCTTGTATATTGCTCGTACTTTGGATAGTAATTTGAACAAACTTCAGAAACTAAGTAACCCATTAAACTTTGACCATAGTAACTGCATTGCAATGCATTGTCAACCACCCACAACATCAATGAGTAGTGTTTCATTAATGACAGTATTCATATAATTTTTCCTATTTTCTCAGAAGCCAGAATTTTCCAGCATGGTATTCATTTTCTCCTTGTCTCTTTCACTTTCTTCTGCCTCTTGAACTTCTCACTTGTGATGGAAGGGTGGCAGAATTCGATTTAGTGCAGTAAAAATTAAGACAAAGAGGCCAGAGTTTGGCTTGTCATTTTTACAGAGGCACAGATTTAGATAAAGAGGGAAGAAAAACAACAGTGACGCATTGATCAAAGCCTGTCGGCCTCTTGTTCAGGAAATTGATCGTCAGGAATAAAAAGCCCTGGGAGATGAAGAATGAACGGGTAGAAGCTCTTGGCATCAAATCCAATAACTTCATAAAGGCTTGAGAAACTGCAGAACCCAGCAGAACCTGTTGCTTCTGAGAGATGAGCTACTGATAGTTGTTTAAAGGGGGCATAACACACACAGTTTCACCCAATCTCATGTTAATCTTGAGTACCTATAGAGTAGTACTGCATCCTTCATATCTCCAAAAAGTCTTTAGTTTTATCATATTTATAAAAGAAAGATACAGCTTTACCATTCTCTCCGGAAAAAGCCAAGCTCCTGGAGGCGTGCCGTGTGCGGAGCTAAAGAGTGACGAGCACTTGGGCGCTGAATGCCAACAAAACATTATTTTAAAAATGTATTTATGTTTATTTTAAACAAATAATTAAATTGTTTGCAAATAGTTTTTTTTTGTTTTTTTGCAAAATAATGTTAAAATGCAAAAAAATGAGTTTTCACACAAATTATCATTACTTTAATGCAAAAATATATTAAATTGTAACCTATTTATAGATAATGGTAGTATTTGTTGCACTGCCTTTAATTGATGCTTGTTTAAAAAAAAAAAAAGTACAGTATCCCCATTGAGATCAATGGAATGAAAGACAAACTAAAAGGTAAAACATTAGGATGCATAGTATCAGTAATACTATGCATTTCCCCAAATTAATGAGAATTTGGGGAAAAATATCTTTATGATGTTTTTTTTTTCATTTAGATTTTGGTGTGAACAATGCCATGCTTTCATGAGATAAACCCATTAAAGGGACAATATTTTTGAAGCATTTTTTCAAGTCCACTGCTAATGTTATTCAAGTTTTCTTGCAGTCATAATTTAGTTTTTTTGTCATTTTTATTCATGTTTTTTATTGCTGTACCTTTAAGATGTCTAATGACGTCTGTTATGATTGACTAACCTGTGCGTGCTGGTCTAGCTCATATTGCTGTTCATCAGAATGAGTCAAGTTGCAGAATACTGAATCTGTGTTAATATGTAAATGTGGTTGGTCATATGTTATGAGTGTATGCTTGTGATTCTGAATGACCAGCTTTTGCAAAT